TCATAGGAAAAGACCCATAATTAAGGTCACCTCTGCCTGACAAGACGAACTACTTCGTTGTTTTTGACTTACACTCTGCTGTTAAAGAGGAATCCTAACTGCTATTACGAGTGTGATAAAGTATCTGCAACATGGCTTAACAAAAGCGAGCCCCTATCTCAGCTGGGATCAGCAAACACCACTGTAAGTAACAACACGTTGCATGAATAGTTTGACCGGGTTCCAGCAGTGTCTGTCCCTGCCTAACAGTTGGCTCACTTACAAACCTACCATCGTGGTAACGGAGATAGATAACCACTGTGGTGGTGCAGACCTGGTAAACCCAGACACCACAGTTTAAAAAATAAAAGCGTAGCATCGACAAACTATCTTTTAGTTGTGCAGTACTGTGTGCTTTACCATACACCCCTGCAAACCAATTACTTGAAGGTCTGCACAATTTTTCGTATAGTATCTCAAACAGTTACAATAAAATGCTGCTTCCTCGCAAAAAATGCCATCAGGAAAGTTGAAACGGGCTTTAAGCAACAGCAATAAAATACACTTGAAAAAAATCATAGTTATGTCTAGTAATGTATTAGAGAGATGGGTCCTTCACATTGCAGCGTCGGAGACAAAAATCCCACACACCTTTGATCCAGCCTCACAAACCTCTGTGGCTATTTAAAGTCATTCCTAACATACCAGGCATAGGACTGAGACAGTTAACAAGGCAACAAACCTGGAGGTGGCGTATTTCCCTAAGACTTTGCCCCAAGTAATTTTTTTTTCTCCTCCTTAAAAATTGCAACGGAGTAAAAAGGTCACTGAAAACATGAAGCTTTGAGTTGAGACTTGCAAAAAGGAAATTATTAACAGGAAGCCAAACAAACAAACAAGAACCAAAAACCCAAACCGAATTTGGAAAAGTACAACTAACCTTCTAATTAAGCTCTGAGAAATTAAAAAACAAAACAAAAAACACAAAAAAAAGCCCACAAAAAAAAAAAAAAACACAAAACCAAAACACCAAACAAACCACACCACGTCCAAAATCAACCACCTTGTATCAGCAGGTTCTTGGGAAAAGGGTCTTGCTGAACACTAGACAGCATCCCTGCACTTGAGTTCTTTCAGTCCCTATCCAGAAGAAAAAAAACCTGATGCATGCTGTGTATTAGGATGTCTGTTCTTCCCTTCTGTGAGTCATAATGATGGGAGTAGATTATCAAAGGGGTTTTTAACTTCACCACTAAACTGGCTAAACAAGGCATGAATCATTTATTCCTTTGAGCATAAAAAAAACTCAAACCGTGGACCTGGAGAAGATCTTTATCTTTGGATTAAAGAACAGTGAGCAGCAGCACGTAGGTACCGGCTGCGAACTGGTTAACATTACAGATCTGCCGGAGGCAATTGACGGAGCAGAAAGGAACTGACTAAATCGCAGCATGACTTGGAGCTGACGTCAATGTGTATCTTGTTTGGAGTTTAACTTTTCCAGTTCCCTACTGCAACACGATTCCAGGAAATCTAATGACGTCAGCCTTTTGAACTCAATTAGCTGAGGAACAGACCATTTTAACAGTGGAGGAGAAAACAAGCAGGCGTTACAATACTTACTGCTCTCTCAAATTTGTTTGCGTTCAGTATTTTCTTTAGTAATGAAAGCATAGGGTTTATTTACACTACTGAAACAATGCACACCTTTCTCTTACACTTAGGGTTAAGCCTATTTATTTATCAAATCTGAAGTATTTATGGCTAAACAAAAAAATGCAGTGTCGTTTTTACAAAATAAAGACGACTATCTCCACGATAAAGAAGAATTTAGAAGAGTGGTGGATTTTTCAGCAAAACCCTGTATCAAACAGTAAAGATTAGCTGTCTGAATCAATCCGTGCAAGAACTCGTGCACTAACATTGATTTTTTCCCCTCTCCAAGAAACTGTTAAGACTGCCCTGAAATCCTACACTGACTAGCTGTAACCAGAAGCTATTTGTACCAGTTCTGAAAGATGAAAGAGTTACAGCAACAGGTTCAAAAGAAAATGTCACAAACACCAACTAAGCACTGCTTAGACATCCAAAAACATCATGTAAAAGACTAACAAAATTTTTACCTGTTTCATCTCCTGTTACAGCCATGATCAGCTTCTGCACACACGATTCCCCTGTTCCTCTACCAGAGCTCAGCATGAACTGTTCCAAACTAGCAAGCATGTGCAGGATTACAAGCAAGAGCACTGACATCACAGTGACCTCACTTGCTTACCACTCTCATTAATATGCTCTGTCACTGGAACAGCTCGCTGACACTGCAGCCCAAAGAACTTTTTTTCCAGTAAACCTGTTACGGTTTTTTTTTCCTTCCTCTTCCATATTTCTATAAGCCTAGCTTTGTTCTTTTTCCCTGAATTATTCATAAAGCTACAGAGAGCACTCACCACAACGCTGGCTGCGAAGCAAGACCTGAAAATTCACAGCACCAACTGACAAAAACTAAAAAGTGGCTCTAGAATCCATGAATTAATCAGAATTATAAAGTCGTGATTGCATAGAAAATAAGGAAAATTTAAAAAGACATGCAATTGTTTTGATTGGAGCAGTTCCACTAAAAGGCAGACACAGGTGAGACAGAAAAGCTTAACAAGCTGTAACAAAGAGGTAAATGAAAGGCTAAAGCTCCTTGCAGTGGGGGGAACCCACAACCTACTCATTTAATTTCAGTTAAAAGCTTCAGAAAAGATTGAAGAAAGCTCCAACAAAGTAAGTCAAAGCTGGTGATCTGAGATGCTGTAACAGGCAGAATTAGGGCTACCTCCCCCCCATTCCCTCATCTTTCAAATAAGTCCAAGAGATCTGGTTGACTTAATATTGCAAAATAAAAAAAAACACAAAACAGCTCTAACAGAATTACTCCTTATTTACACCAATTTAAAAGAAAATAATTTCAGACCAGCCCAGGCAGTGGTACGTATGTAGGGCACAGCAAACTTCTATTTGTCTGTAATAAACAAATTCAGACTGGTAATTCATCAACTGTGCAACTATGCCAAGGACAGCAAGAGCAGAAGCATCAGTGCAAAAAAGGAGCGCCCCGTGATTACAGGGCCACTTCAGCACCACGTGAACAGAAGAGCAGAACCGAAGTACACAAATTCAAGCCAGAGATCTCAAATATCACTGACCATATTATGAAAACACACATAGAACCTAACAGAATGACTTCTGAGACAGCTTTTCCATACTCATTCTCACTAATAATTAAATGCTTCCTTTTGCTTCAGCTACCAAAATAACCCTTAACCCAAAACTGTCAGGACATCAGAACTGCCTCATATTTTGCCTCTGAATGTAAACTTGCAGCACATGAAATATCACTCAGCTGGATCAACACCTTTGGTGCTTTTATACTAACCCTTTTTCCCCATCACAGGCTGTCAGGATATATCAAACACGGGGTTTATGTGATGATATTCATTATTACGTGAGCTTCATCAACAAATGATTTAGAAAAAATATAAATACATGTGCTATCTGAACAATCTTTAACAGATCTTTTCCGACCTAGGACTGATATTTGTTAATTTTTACTTCTTTTACTTTTGATTATTACAAATAAAATGTATATACTGTCTACTCAAAACCATTATAAAAATATATTTAAGTGGGACATTAAGCAGAATGTTGCTTTCCTATTACAATCTGTGCTATCACATTATTAGGTGAACAGTCAACTACAAAGTGTACATAAAGGAAAAAAGTTCATAAACTGTATTCCTACAGAGTCCTAGCACAGGCAAGACAACCTACCGTAAGAACGTATTAGACACTTGTATATCCAACTAAATTCACTGTCTCACTCCATCCTGCATAACGCAGGTTTGTTGATGATATGAAATTATTACCATAAAGAGATGTCTATTACTGTAAACATCCTCAGGTGCTTCCATACTCCTTTTACATATATATATACATATAATTTTTTAAAAAATATTTTCCAGTAGTGATAGCATGTATAAGTTGAAACCTTTTATCTTCTTATCATCTTTCAGTTCACAGTCACTTACTATATGCCTTTTGTATTTTCCCAGGTATGTGTTATGTATCATTGGATATCATAACACATTGGTATGTGTTATGTATCACATGGAACAGAGAACCCCAGCAGGTCAACTACTTTGAGCAGGGACAGAGAACATAGCAATTTAGTTAAAAGTATCTTCAAGCTTCCAGAAACAGGATACAGCAGGTAATCAGTAATCTTGATCTGCCTCTGTCTGCCTCTGGATCTGTTTTGAAAGTTTTAATCAAAGGCAAGATCATTTAATGGGCTACGCCATCCAGCAGCCGAGCCCATCACCGAGACAGAATAGGGAGGTGAGATGACAGCCCTGTAATGAAGAGTCTGTAAAGGAAGGCCAGTCAAATGAACCTCCCAAGGACTGAAATGCTGCCAGATACAGTCCCTAAGTTCTGTGCTTCTTCACAGACTGGAGGAGGGGTTTAAGAAACAACTGAAGAGCTAAACTCTCTGCCCTACCACTGCCCCTGAAGCATGGAAGACCCAAAGCAATATATACAAATACTACAGTCAACCTTGAAAGACAGACAAGTCCTCTAATTTAAGGGGTGTGGTACACACATGTATAGAAAACATACTAGACTCATAGTCAGAAAACACGCACTACCAGAATGGGAAATGTGTTTGTGGCAACAGTCAGATTTGGGTTTTAAGGCTTTGCTAAGAATGTATTTGTAACAATATTTAGGGAGGTTACAGTAACACTCTCTGCATGATGAAAACCAACATTTTGGTTTAGGGTTTTTCATATCAGAGTCTTAGAGATTCCTTGAAATGCTTCTGAAATGTCTTGGAAAGACAATGTATTTCAGCAAAGAATTAACCAGAGGCGATGGAAGAAAGCAAATTGAGTATCACTATTTAGTGTTGTCTCAAAAAGTTCAGAAATCTACAAGCTATTACTTTTATTTACATCCTGGGCTTCCTTTCAGCAAAGGGAGAGAAACAGCCACTTAAATACAGAACTTATCTCAAACATCCATATTAGGACAAAAAAAGCACCTCAACCTGGTGAGCACCAATTATCTCAGATATTTGTGTCTACATGTAATTGTTGACTCTCATCCACTTCATGAATACATATTTAAAGTCTTCCTAGTTCTTCTCATGGTTTATTTCAGACAGCTGTTTTGCCTTAAGAAAGCATTCACACAGCCCTCCCTGCTTCTCTGTACCAATTAAAACAAAATACTTACAAGAGAAAACAAATTCCCTGTATCCTCCATGGCAGTCATTAATTTGGTGTCTCCATACAGAAATCTCTTCTGCATTTTCAAAGGTTTTCCTCAGCACAACCCAAATCCCTACCCTACTCTCCCTGGTACTGATAAAAGTCCAAGATACCTTTGGTTCTCAATCTCCCTCAGCCTTTACAAAAGGCTAAGAACAGCATAAGGAAAAAAATCCTATATAAACCACAGGAAAGTTCAAGAATTCCCTGTTCACAGTTCAGTTCTCATGTGTACATTTTATAGGACTTACAAAAGTGTTCTTCTGAGAGAAAACTAGCTTCAGCAAAGAATGTCCTTTCCAAAACCTACAAAACTCGTAAGTTGCAAGGAAATTCTGCCCTAAACATATCCAAAGAACTTCAGAACTTGCTTTTAATAAGATTGCTTAACTGCTGAAAAAAACAAGTTTGTTTCATATATTAAATGACAAAGCAGCCACAGTCTCTCATTTCAATCTGTAGCAGCACCTTTACTGCAATTAAACACGTATCTCTAAGTCTAGACAAGAGAATTCAAAGCAGAAAGTGATGTTATACTGTGATTTCCTCCTCACAACTTTTTAAAATCAAAAGTAGCAGTTGCTTTACTGAGCAGAAAAGCTCAGTCTCCTGCTAAGACTGTCTTTCATCTTGTTACACGTAAATATTTCATGTCATAGTAAAATAATGTTAACACAAAATAAAAAGCCTTTAACAAAAATTGGTTTAAATGAAAAAAGTAAAATTAGATAGACTAATAAAATATACCTTGAACAACAACTTGGCTTCCAGGAACAAAAAACTGTTGTGTGCCATCAGGTGATTGTCCTGCATATTGCACAACGGTGGCACCTGCTTGAGGAGCTGTGGAATTTGTCTGTGTCTGTAGTCCATGGACACCATCAGAGGCTGTATTAGAAATCTGGATTAAACCATCCTGGTTTATAGTAACTAAAAAGAAAAAGAAAAGTTAGGCAATAGACAGAGAAAGAACACATGTTAAAAAGCACATCTCCCTTTTTAATATGAGCATTGTATGATAGGACTCCTGGTCCTGTCCTTGCTTAAAGATCAATTGCACAACAAAATCTACATAATTTTACATAATCCTGATTTCCACAAACATGGGCCTGCTGTGTAGTACATCCCATGTGTGTATCAGGTATAAAGCAGTGTTCTACACATTTTATCTCTACGCTTCTAGAAATATGAACTCTCCTAAAACAGTTCTAAAACTAGCAAAAAGTAGTAGCTCCTAGCCATAATGATTGTTGTTTTAAAAATGAATCCAAAAAAGTTAGATTAAACAAAAAGCTATATTTATCAACTCTCACAGACCAAAACCTAGGACATCTAGACATAGGAAGAGCAAGTTTCTGATGCTCACAATCCTTTCCTTCATGTGAGAGAAAGTCTAGCCTAACAGTGTTTTTCCAAGTTATACAAAGCTGTAAAGAGCCCAAGACTTATGTAAAAAGAGAAAGAGAACAAAGGGTTCCCCCTCCCATGTAATCAGCAATCCAAAAAATTCAAATATACTTTCCCCATTAAAAAAAAAAAAATCATATTGTGTTTCCACCATAATTAAATATTTAGGCAAAATCAAATTCCCTAGAGAGGTTAATTGTATATTCCTTTTGAAATTAGCACTGTCTTTGTTAAAAGCAGAAATATCATAGAATCACAGAATGGTTTGGGTTGGAAGGGACCTTAAAGATCATCTAGTTCCAACCCCCCTGCCATGGGCAGGGACACCTTCCACTAGACCAGGTTGCTCAAAGCCTCATCCAGCCTGGCCTTGAACACTTCCAGGGATGGGGCATCCACAGCTTCTCTGGGCAACCTGTGCCAGTGCCTCACCACCTTCACCACAATGAATTTCTTCCTAATATCTAATCTCAGTCTACCCTGCCCTCAGTTTAAAACCTTTATCCCTCTTCCTATCACTACATGCCCATGTAAAAAAGTCCCTCTCCAGCTTTCTTGTAGGCCCCTTTTAAGGTTTCCCCAGGGCCTTCTCTTCTCCAGGCTGAACAACCACATCTCTTAGCCTGTCCTTCATGGCCTTCCCCTGGACCCACTCAAGCAAGCGCATGTCTTGAGGGGGGAGTATCACAAGAAGAGAGTAGAGGGGCAGAATCAACTCTCTCAACGTGCTGGCCACATTCCTCTGGATACAGCACAGGATACAGTTGGTTTTCTGGGTTGCCAGCGCACACTACCGGGCCCATTCTGAGTTTTTCGTCCACCAGTACCCCAAGTCCTTCTCCTCAGGGCTGCTCTCTATCCACTCTCCATCCAGCCTGTTCTTGTGCTTGGGATTGCCCCAACCCAGGTGCAGGACCTTGCATTTGGCCTTGTTGAACTCCAAGAGGTTGGCAGTGGCCCACCTCTCCAGCCTGTCAGGGTCCCTCTGGATGGCATCCCTTTCCTCCAGTGTATTGACCACACTTCACAGCTTGGGGACACCCATAAACTTTCTAAGGGTGCCCTCAATCCCACTGTCCATGTCCCCAGCAAAGATGTTAAATACTGGCCCAATATAGACCCCTGAGGAACACCACTCGTTACTAGTCACCATCGAGCTGTTGACCGCAACTCTTTGACTGTGACCACCCAGCCAGTTCCTTGTCCACAGAATGCTCCACCCATCTCATCCAGGTCTGTTATGTTAATAAAAATACTCCTGGAACTTTTAGATGAGAAACTAATTCCCAAGAAGTAATAAATGTCTTTCTCCCCTGAAGATATTTAAACTACAGTCATTGTCATTGTGTTCACTGTTGTCTGAGGTTGCACAAAAGCCATCTGTAAGTACAGATTCAGGATTGCCAGCTCCTCTGACTTCAGATGCACAATATTTGATGATATTCTTGCAGGTTCAGCTCTGCTTAACTGAATATCTTGAAAGTGCAACATCAGATAATAACACTTCAAAGAACACTGAGATACTAATAGTTGATTAGTAAACTGTTATTAGTAAGTTAGACAACAGTAACGATCTACTAGAAGCTCAGCTAATTTTTTTGAGAGTTACCATGACAAGCAGTTATTTACCAAAACTGTCAAATCCCAGAAGCTTAATTAGCTCCTTTTTGAGGAAAATGGGGGATTCCTCTCATGCCGAATGAAGCAGAGAGATATGTTTGCCATATTGGAACACAGTTCAGCATGGACCTCAAGTCCTACCCTCGGAATGGGGAACATGTAATGTAGAAAGTACCTGGATGCTGCACACAGGCTGCGTAAGGCATTAAGGGAAGGGAGGGTGAGAGGGGGGCTGGGTATATTGTCTCCTCCATTCTTCAGGAGACCAGGACAAAGAGCAGGCTCCCAGCAGCACACAGACTTCCCAGCAGGATTTGTCACCTATACTTCCTAGAGAAGTTAAACACTGCTGAATTCTGCCTCTCACAGAGTTAGCACCAGAAGTGGTATGTCTACATCATCACAGTACCATACCACATAAAAACCAATCAGTTTGGGTTTCTGAGCCATGAAACATCAGCACAGAATCATACCAGGTTACGGGCTCCACAGTGAGCCTGGGTAACCAATTACATCACAGCTGTCCTGCAATTACTCATTCAGATCACAACCCAGTACTTTCTAAACAAGAGTGAATTAACTCCAGTAACTGTCTCCTTTACAGGATTGATTCCTGCCATAACAGAGTTTTCCCACATCCTGTTCACTGTCCTGATCTCAACTACTGCACAGACATTCGCTGTGCTGGAGCTCTACTGGAAATTGGGCCTTCCATGAAGAGTAGAGGACTTTTCAGGACAGTCCCTGGAGCTGTATGACATGCAGTTGGATGCTGTGACACTTCACTTCTAGCTAGGGCTGAAGATGATACCAGTAACATTCTCTGAGTATGATAAACAGTTCTAATCCAGAAAAATCAGATCTGTCCTTCCCTGAGAAAAGCAACTAAAGTTCATCTTTCCCAAAAGATTTCTTAATTCTTCACTTGTTAAAAACTTGTCCTCAGACAGCAAGCATACCAAACAGATGGCAAAAGAACTAATAATTTTCATTTCCCCTGCATCATTTCAGACAGAACATGATGATATGCACAAGCAGGCAAAGGGGAGTGGGGGGCAGTTGATTCACACGCTTCAAGGGAACAAGCAACTCTTGCATCGTTAGACCACCACCACCAAAAGGAGAGACAAAGCAGGTTTTTTGTAGGATTCAGTAACCAACACGGACAGAACTACAGCCCACAGAGTAGGCTGTAGTCACATCAGGTTAAAGGCTCATATACGAGACATGACCTGATGCAAAACTATCCATTCCCCTTACAGAAAGGTAACATGTACACTGATGGAGGTAACTGGGAAAGATGTCTTATCTATAGCTGGTCATGCCTGCCAGTCTGTTCCATAAGCCAAAGCCAAGAAGCTCTGAGGAAAAAGATATTTGGAAACCATGGCAACATATAATTTTGGCTGGTAAAATGTAAGCAAAGAACAGCCATCACTGCTTCTAATAGGAAAAAAAATAATTTGTTTTTCAGAAAAATTTGCTTATCAAGTTTTTCCTAAAATAGTCATCCCAGACGTCCAGACACCAACACAGAGTCAAAATCATCTTTTCAACTAAACTGCCTCTCCTGTGCAGGAACAGGGAGAACGGTAGAGAAAATAAGGAATCACAGAAAAGTAGTAGCATATGATATCTGTTTTAAACCAGGGCACAGTACAGAGGGTTGTACTGACACTGCAAGACCAGTTCTTCACTGCCATGGACACTGCAGTGAGTAAACTTGATGCCTACACTGCTGGATGCCTGCACAAGAGAACCCACACGACCAGTGCTGGCCAAGAGGAGAGGAGGACTCAAATACAATAATGATAAGCAGAAGAGCTAGTGTCAGGAGACAAAGATAAAATAGATACATGTAATGACCTTTTGCATCATATCCAGGCTGAAATCAACACAGGAGATGCTGCATCCCCACACAGTGTCCCTGGTTTTAGCTCACAGCAGTTCTTGAGGATCACAGGCAGCCAACATGACTACTGCTCAGAAATGCTGCAGATCTATGCCTTCTGCATTTAAGGACTAGAAGTCAACAGCCAAGCTCTCTTTGGAAAATCCCAAATTAAGATCCCCTCTACTACAAGGAGATGACTGACCTGGCTACAAATTTTTCAAATCCACTGAAGCAAAAGATGTGTGACATTTTAACTTAAACTTAAATAAATAAATAAAAAGAAAAACCATTTTCAGGAAGACAAAGCTCTCAAAAAGTTTTTGAACCAGAATCAGCAGACTCTATGAAGGCTGTCATTGCATTCTGAGGCTGTCATTGCATTCTCATTATGGCTGAGGATCTATTAACTAGTTAAATTGCCTTAAATATACAGCACATTTTAGGCTGTAACATTTTCAAAGAAAAAGCAGCATAAACCAGAAATCTTCTATGATTGGCTCATGAAAAAGCCAATTGTAAAGTAAGATAAATGAGGTTTAGCAGAGTCCACAAAAATTTAATTAATTCATGCACATTGTTGGTGACGTTCTCTGTTCCTTAATTTTTCAGAAGTAAATGTTTGATTGAATAAGAAAGCAGAATCTGTGAATTTCATTATTCTTTTATACACTCCCCTGTCACTATGATTTATAGCTATGTTCAAATTAGAACATCCTCAATTAAGAATCACCTCCTGCAAGACAGTGCTCTTGAAAACACAACTCTGGATTCCTAGAGGAATCTACAATTAAATAACCTAAATTCCAAATTTCTTAGAAATCCTGAAGGTTTGAAGGTTCACTAGAACATAGTACAGACACTACAGCACTTCTTTTTAAGCCTTCAAACTGCAATTATAGATTTAGTTTTTTAAAAAAAAAAGTAAGACAAATTAAAAATGTAATTAAAAAATTTAAGAAAATAATTTAATCTGGCAAGAATACTTGCCAGATTCTGTACCAGATAACTGTAATTTAGCATGACCACAAGTCCACAGAAAATGTCCACATCAGAATCTGGACATCATTAAGCAGACATTTATTTATGTCTGTACTTTACAGAAAAGGGTGAAAAAAGCAGCCTAGGAGCCCAAGCAGAAATACTTTCTATGCTGAAGGGGTAGATAATATTATAGACAAATTCTGATTTACCAGAGTTGATAATTACTTTAGTTGCATAAATTTAAAATAACTGAAGAATTCTAAGGGAGACTAGAACATAACTAGAGTACAATTCTATCTTCTTTTATATCCTGGTGCAATATTTTACTAGACTTCCTCTGTTCTCGTTTCAAGAAAAAACACACCACAACATTTCTTTTGCAACTCTCCTGTCATTATCCCAAAGGAAAAATACCTGCATTTCAGTGTGTCTACACATTAAAAAAAAAAAAAAAAATTAAAAAAGTAGGACTGAAGCTTTAGCCTATACATAATTTTGAAAAGCATTATTAGAAAGTTATCCCTTAGATGATATGTCATTAAGCTCAAAGAAGCTACAGGGAGCAAGTGACACAATATTTTTGACATAAATTCAGAAATTAATAATAAAAAAAAAAAAAAGGCAGCCCAATACAAAACCTAAAAGCAAATCTAAAGAACAGAACTGTGAATCTCACTTTTAACTTGCATGTTGGAGACCACGATTTAGGTTAATTATGCAGTTAAAGTGTTCAGACTTGATAACTGGAGAGGACTAGACATAGTTCTTTTAAGAAAGAAAATCCAAAGTTAAGAAATAATTTAATACTCCAACCTTACACTTTAAAAAAGTCTAACTCACTAATTGTAATTTCATATAATGAACAGCACTAATACACTGATCACAGAAACTGTAATGATTTCTAACACACAACATGCACATAAAAGTGTCAACATTTTTCATTTCACCTGATGCATAAGGTGCATCTCCACACTTTCAATGCATAGGACTTCTGTAAGGACTAAATCTAGCAACCAACAAACATTACAAGAAATAGACTACAAGTCTATAATGCCCATGTTATGAAAAATTAAATACAAAAATTGACACTATTTAGAAATACAGAAGCTCTCCTTTTCTACCAAAACCCAACATCTCTACAGCACTAGGGTACTCTTAAGAACAAAGTTGTTCCTATATACGTTCTGCAACATCACAGCATCTTTGCGAACATACCGTATTGCCCTGTGTTAGTGTGATACAGGCTGCTTGGCATGGTCATTGCAGAAATTCCAGAAGGCGCTCCTTCATCTTCTGACTTCTCTTCTTCAATCTTCGGTACTGCAGGAATGTCTGATGAGAGTTCATTCAAAATTTTTCTGAAAAAGAATGTAAATAATTTTACATATTTGAAATGTCATATCCATGAGACCACTAGCTTTTATCAGACAGTTTAGCTGTAATATATAAGCTGCCTTTGAAAACCAGCAAAACCACATTAAGGTGTCCTTACCGGTATGAAGGCCTTCTTGAAAGAATTTCCCTACGTTTTTTAGAATCAATTATCCCTTCTGATTCTGCAGATTCATCTGCAATCGATGCTGCCTGTAATAACAAAGTTTCTGAAATTGGTAACTTCGTAAAAACAAATAGCAGCAGAGTAAAATTTTATTTTAAAAATTCCTTCCATGTTTGCATACAGGAAGTTTGTGCACTTATTTAGCACTAATCATGGGATCTTGGACTTCCTTTTCCAAAGCAAATCACAAATTATCAAGTTAGCAACATATAGCCACTTAGATGACATTTTCCATTTGAAAAACATCAAAGCAACCCAGGCTACTTTTTCTGTGAATAACACCTAGAAAATGTACTGAGGATGCAAGATTTCTTTAAACATAAAAATATTATAAAATTTAATTAGCTTTTAAAGTGAAATTAAACACTTAAAATACAATATATTATAGTAATGCACCTTAAATAAAAGTAGCAATACAAAAGCTTCTTCACAACCCCACCAAAACTATTTAGAAAAGAAGTTTATTAAATAGGCACACTTATTACACTTACCAACACATATTCATAAATACAAATACGTGGCTTAGTAATACTGTGCAAGTATTAGAAACCCCTGACAAGTCCACAAAGTCTCATTTTCTCACACTTTTATTAATACTAGTTTCACAGGTTCTTTTTCTTCTAAAATTCCTCAAAATTACATGAAGGTCTGGAGTTGAATCACACTCTTTACCAGCAATTATGTTATTACACAGAACTGAAAGCAATTATTGAAGAAGAAAAATATGCTATTTTCTTGATTCATTTAACTGGTCAGAACTATTGGCGTGCAAGATTTTCAAACTGAAATAGTGCAGTAAAGTTAGTGTGGAAAACGACTTCACATAAAGCCAGACAAGCCTGCAGTTTCAGACTAAGCGCTGTGTTAAGCCAACACCAAGCAAACATGAGCTCAGTGACTAGAAGGCTGAAGTGTTTGACCTGGGTGCAGTGGAGAAGAGGTCTAGACCTAATGTCAAGCCTGAGTGCTCGGTGCTAGAAATAAAACCTGCCTGAGCTCAACAGAAAATGACTGGCAGGAAGGTTCTGGAACTTTATAGGCCTGGGTCAGTCCAGCTCAAACCTATAAAACTACACCTTGGAAGAACTACAGGTTATTGCAGAATTAAATTGTCCCTTCACTTGCTAATTTTGTAACATTCCAGTTCTGTGTAAAACTATTTAATGTAGCCTAATTTTGCTGGGTAATAAACAGAAAACATCATTTAAACTCTACACCCGCCTAATGAAAAAAAGACCACCTAGAAATAATGAGAGGTACTTCTGCATGTCTAGAGATGCGCAGCTCCAAACCATACCACCAGGGCGACTGGCAGAGATAGAAAAGGCTCAAGAAGTTTGTTATTCATCTTTTTGCAGGGTGGACCAATGCTGACCAGCAAAGAGATCTTCTGAAAGGCATTTCTCTGCAGCATCCTACAGCGATTTGCTGGCGGATCAACTTTAAAGTCTCTGGCATAAAACTGCAAAACTAAGGTAGTATTACACAGCCAAGAGCCTGGGTATCCTACCTCAAAACAGAACTGTCATTCTGCAGGGGAAAAAACACCTGAAAGATGACAAACAGCAGAAACAAGACCTTAGTGCCTTTAAACCTTCCCATTGCACTAAGGGTTAGCAATAGCCACCCTAGCCTGTAAAGATGGCCGAAGAAGTAATGAACAGTCATACTTTGGGAAGAAAGTAAGGAAATCACATGACAATTTAAGTATTTTAATGTGGAAGAAGACATTTTCTGCAAGAAATGTCAAAAGTTCTGATAAAAGACAAGAGATAAATTTAATGTTTCAGTTTGTTCTAACAACAAGTGACCACGTTTACAACACTGACCAATGGAAACCATTGTGATTTTTTTCCTGGACATCGTTCAGCCTTCAACTTTACCACCACTCTGTGTTTCAGCAAATTTAACTTCAAGCTCATGTTAGTCTGCCAGTACCTGATACATTACAGGGTGGAGCAAGTAGAAAAAAATCAAATAACAACCTGAACTTTAAACCTTCCTACATGGTAAATCAACATTAACAAAACAGTAAGGAATGTGATATAGAGAAGCATTTTTTTAATCCCTAAAGCAGTAGCATTACAAGAAAAAGTTTCGAGCACCTTGCAGTTTAAAGCTGCAGGTGTTTGAGGGAGAGGTCATGCAAGCTTTAACATCAACCTTCAGCATACTTTTTTTTTTTTTTAATTAAACTGATATAATTTCCCAAGTTCTTCACTGTCTGGCAGAGAGAGGATATCAACTTAAAGCCAAATGATCTGGAGGAAATGCCAGGTGGCAGGATAAATTGCTTAAGAGGATCACAGAAGGGCTGAACAACCTCTGTAATGGAGCCTTTTACAGCATCTTCCAGCCCTTCCTGTAGAGTCACCTTACTTGCCATTAGCATGCTCAAATGAAGCCAAAGCAAAACCCTGGAACCCACTAGTTGTTATTAATCAGGACACAGCTTTCCTGTCTCTACTCCTTTAGGAATGCGAACACAGCCAGAGTTCACTCAGTACAATAAATAGTCGACTTCTACTCCCTTAAGAAGACACAACAGCAGCTGGTAAGAGATTCCAGAGAAATTCAGCCTGGTGAGCTTTGGAGCAAGTCCTTTATTTTTGCATGTATCTCCTGACTATACCAACTTGAAGAAAAGCAGTTACAGAAACTGGGAGTGACTGTAATATGCTTACCTGATAAAGTTCACTCTGGTGAATTAAGGTTAAGAAGAATTCCAATAAGAAAGGTACTAGTTTTGAATACTCTGATTGGCCTTCAAGTTTGGCCAAACCCAAGTCTCTTGCAACCTACTGCACCTCTTCCAATAGAGATCTAGACTTTCAAAACTTCACCAGATCCCACCATCTACAACTACTGCTCATAAATCCAGTATTTAGTATCTGGCCAAAATTTTATTATTTTTCTCTAATCTGTAAGATAAATCATACTCACAGACACTTTTTTATTTATTACACTTGAAAGTTACTTAGCAGTCTCAAACATTAAAGGTGACTGACAATGCATGCCTTTTCCTTGAGGTGCAGCAATGATGGCAGTTCACACAACAGCTCTATCGCCTGTCAATTCTACATGCAAAAAGCAGTTCAGTTGGCATTCCTCAGTCAGATTTTAAGAAAACAGGAGCAAAGCCATTCCTAGCTACATGAAAAACACTAATGGGAGGCCAAGTCATTTTCAAAACACTGCAAGTTCATTCTCTCTAGTCTTTTTCACTACCTAAAAGATCTGAAAACTCTTGAGCATTTTGCACTGGTCCCTCCTTTTTAACATCAGCAACATGCGAAGATTCGCCAAATAAATGTTTATTTTGAGGCTGCCCTTATTTTTGGTCTTTACATATCCACACCCACAAAAAGTAATACCAGATGCTCTAACCAGGACCTTCTAAAACCAACAAGGAATCATTTGACTGTAATATGTTTACTTCTACGACATCCAGATGCTCTCCAAAAATATAGTATGAGATACTCCAAACTGATGAGTTTGTAGTCTCATTAGAAACATGATGGTCACAGAATTTAAGAAGACAGAAAAACTGCAAGATACACGAAAGACCACATTATTACACAAATTTACTGTTGCCTAATTTCAGGGTTCCAAGACACAACTTCTTAAGAGATAAACAGGAAGCATTAAGGAATCGCTACACAATGGTTGTAGAGCTGCTACTGGCTGGCAGCTTGCCACCTTCCACCCTGCCGTTTCCCCTACCGTATGAGTAAATCTTGCAGCACTGGTAGGAATGAAGAGAAACTGAAGATGGGGTTGGGGGCAATGTTACGAGGCACCAAATATTCATGAAAATGTAACAATAAAAGAGCTAACCTGAACAGCTTGCATGTGTGGTGACTGAATGACTGAGGCCTGTGTGGCTTGAATGACACCCTGGGCATACACAGTTTGACCAGAAGCCAACTGCATTACAGTTGTAGCTGCAGATCCTCTTCCAGCACTTGGTGCAGCTACACAAACCTGCAAAAATTACAGTCATCATGTTTCAGTAACATGCCTTAAGATTTCAGCAAGTGCATTTAGAAGTGGTAAAACAAACTGGGTTTGATGCCATATCTAAAATAGCTTAGATGTGTATAACTACCACACACAGAAATACAGTTTTACTAGTAAAAGTTTGATGTGTATTTTTCCAAATTGTATGGCAAACTTTAAACTTTCCCTTAAGAAATGGCGAATCACTCTTTTTTTTCTTTAAATTGAAAAGAAAACATGAAGCTTCTGGAAAAAAACAACCCTAAGCTATCACACACTAAATCTGCTGTCACTTGCAGGAAGGTTCAGAAGAACCTCAAGAAATGTAACAAAAAATATCAATATTCACAGACGCGGTATGTTGCTGCAAAAACACGCAGGGCAGAAAGTTCTAAGTCAGGGAAAAAAAAAAAAAATCCAGAACTACTTTGGTTTTGCTCTGTTTGTTAGTTAGGCAAGAAGTCATGCTTTTCAGATAGATGTCTCGAGACATGAGAACTTTTCGGACAGCAGAAAAACCTCAACCCTATTAAATAAAGCAATACATGGATTTGTAAATGGATTTAATAAATTCTCTTTATATATATATTTATATATCAAGAAAAACAGAGTTGGAGTGTAGCAGTGCTTCGATACAACAACAAAACAAAGAACAGCTGAATCTTCTCTAAGCCTAGCGCTGCTGGAGAAAGTGTTCTGTTTAGGAGTAATATGATCCCTTTTCCTGGTGACATTTTAGAGGACACAGCTTTCCCCAGCCCTTGGCCCTCAACCATCAGTACTGAGGAACAATGGGTTAACATACAGTTACACACCTACAGGCTAAGAAATAGTTCAATATTTATGCTATTACTGTTAAGTCTATTAACAGAAACAAATACTGAAGCAAAGGGAAAACTGATTGATCTGAAGTTCTGTGTGATGAAACATCTCTAAACTCAGAAAAGGAAGTGAATGACAAATATACCATAAAAATAGATTCTGTGTTTTTCAAAGTAAACTACTTTTAAAAACCATATTTTCTACAGT